TATAACATTTATGAACTTTTTGCTGACATTACATAGTTACATAGTTTTGGCTCAAGCAAAGCGTTTTTCACGTGCGACATCCAAGATGTCGCAAGTCTTGAATCACTTGAAGGCAGCTCAAGGCTTCCTACGGCAGACGATGGCACTGCCGAATTTTGCACTTCTGCAGGGACAGCAGGGTCGTGTGCTTGAAACCATGCTCGGCAAGAGCTCGTCGATGTCGACAGAGGTCGCGAGCCAGATTCTAGCAGAGCTGGACGATGCGTGCTGGGGTATGGAGACCGCGGGGAGGATGAAGGAGATGGTTTCAAATATGGTCCAGGTAGAGACCGTTCCGGCCGCGACTGCTGCACGGAAGACTTTGCAAGACTTTACGAACTTCCCGCTGTACATGACGGAAGATCAGTGGCAAGCCTTGCAGAGGCAGCCTTCGGCGGCCGAAGTCCTAGGCCTTCTAGCCCCGATGCTTGCAGAGTTAGGCCTTCGGAGTCCTACCGAGGGCACCTGTGCAATGTTCGGTTACATGGTACGGCAGGAGGCAGTGCCTGATCAAACGAAGTTCACGAAGGACTTTCCTGAGTTCAAGGCTCGCTTCAGGAAAGGCCTGCAGGTCAAAGGCGACCCGGTGGATTGGCTGCCGAGCCTTCCGGCGGAGATGCAAGATCTCCCGGCAGCACTCAGTGCTCGGATCTTCAGCAACAAGCCGGCGGCGAAGCCCAAAGTAGATTTGGAGAAGCTGAATGCCCTCACGTCGCAGCACAAGAAGCGGCGACACCCATCGAACAGCGAGATAGTGGTGGAGCAGCCAGAGCAGAGCTTGCATCGCTTCGCCTCTTCGGCTAGTGCCGTTATGGATGCTGTGGCTAGGAAGCTGGACGATATCAAGCCGGCGGAGGCAAGTGGAGGTGCAAAGGCAAGTGGAGATGCCAAGGCAAGTGGAGATGCTATGCCCAGCTGTCTCCCGCTGGAAGATCAGCCGCCAGCCCAGCTTCTTGCGTTGGAGGACGTGAAGATAGAACAGAAGTCTGAGTGCAGCGAAGGCCCGAGTGTCGCTGCAGAACTCAGGGCACTAGCAGGCAAACGGAAGCAGCCAGTGCGGAGAGTACCGTGAAACGGAAGCTTGCGGCAGCAGTAAGGCAGAGACCGGCAGCAGCAGAGTTAATGCTAGTGCCGGCTCCACTGTCAGAGCCAGAAGCAAAGGCAGTGCCGCGTCCTAAGTGTAAGCCTGCAGTGCTTCGGAAACCCTCAGCAGCCCCTGCGGTGCTTGGGAAGCCCTCAGCAGCACCCGCGGTGCTTCGCAAGCCTGCGGCAGCCCCTGCGGAGCTGACAGCCTCTGCGGGACAGAAGCGGAAGGAAATTGCGGGATACACGATGGAGGAACGGCTACTTGCCCGGCCCAACGGCTGCGGCCGTTGCCGGTGGATTGCCGGATGCACTCCCTCGTGTTTCCGGGCGTGAGCGGGGCAGCGGTCACGGCAAGCATGCAATATTCCCGGCTGCACTCGGTCTTCCATAATGCATGGCAACGATCTTCCCGAAACTCGGTAGGCGTAGGATAGTAGCGCTCACACCCGGAGTTTTGCAGTGGCCCGCAACAAGTGTTTGCACAAACACGTCGGCATGAGCCAGCCTGTCCTGCTGCATGTTTGCAGATGTTCTTAAGTTTTTGTATATATAGCCGCGAGGCTCAAGAGGGGCAGGCTTTCCGGGCTGCAGAAGGGCCCCTGCCGTGAAGGCGAGACTGGGGTTTCCTTTCGGGTTTGGGGTTTAAGAGTGGCTGCATGTGTGCCTGCAGGTTGACAAGGGTGCCTCCCACTTGAAGGCGGGCGGGAGCGACAAAGACCAGAGAGAGAGAGAGAGAGAGTATAATGAAATATAATATAATATATAATATAATATAATATAATATAATATAATATAATATAATATAATATATTATAATATATTATATTATAATATAATATAATATAATATAATATAATATAATATAATATAATATATTTTAATATAATTTAATATATAATATATAATATATAATATATATAATATATATATATATATATATATATATATATATATGGAGATGTGCGGCTTCGGTCGCCATCTGCTATAGAAGGCAGACGTGTGGCTTCGGTCACCGTTTGCACTCGAATGACGGCAGATGTGCGGCTTCGGTCGCCGTCTGGCCTGAGAGACGTGTGGCTCCGGTCACCGTCTTCGTAGACGGGATGCAGATGTGTGGCTCCGGTCACGTGGCTCCGGTCACCTCTGCAGAGATGGTCACCGTGTGCAGTCGTGCACCGTGTGGCTACGGTCACCGTGCAAAAGGAGAGAGAGAGAGAGAGAGAGAGAGAGAGAGAGAGAGAGAGAGAGAGATATATATATATATCTATACATATATAATTTTTCATGTAGAGAAATATAAGAATTTTAAATACTATATAGATATATGTCCTGGCAGGTCATGGGCCGACGAAGTGGAAAGAAGAACGACGAGGAGCGAGGCCGCCACCGGTCCCGCTCAAGCAGCCCGGACCGTCGACCCAAGCCCCGTCGCAGACGTCGCAGCCCGTCGAGCGACTCGCAGTCGAGCTCCTCGCACGGGGCAGCAGCGACGGAGAGAGCTGAAAGAGTCCACGCCATGCGAGAAGCAGCGGAGAAGCACCAGGCGGAGGAGACCGCACGGAGGCCGCGGCGGCAGCAGCGGCGACGGCAAAAGCGGCGACGGCAAAAGCGGCGACGGCAAAGGCAGCAGCAGGAGTGCCGGAGCCCGTTCTCCCTCCCTCAAGTGAGGCCCGAGCAAGGAACGAGGCCAAGGCTGAAGCCTTGCGGGACCAGCTCCTGCATGCTTTCGAGGAGACGGAGAGAGCCGACGACCCGGACAGAGACCCGTCTCCGAGTCTGGGCAAGTACAGGCGAGCTCGCCAGAGGGCGAAGCGAGAGGCTCCAAAGCAGGTCTTGGAGGTGGAAGACGTCGACAGGAGCCGCCCAAGCAAGCCAGCCACGGTGCGTAGCATGTCAGTATTGACGGCAAAGGCACCAAGGGTGCGGCCTGCCCGGGACCGGCTCGCCGCACATATCAATGCCGGCGTTGTGGCACGTACATAGCGCCAACAAGGCATGGGTTCAAGAACCATCGTCGCTCCGCCGCATGCCTCTCCTACTGGAGCAGCTGTCTCAAGCACGGAGAATGGGAGCACCAGGAGTGGCTGGCGGGGAATGGAGGAGCGGACACGGAGACCTCTGAGGATCTCCGCCGCGAGATCGAGAAGGAGTCGGGGCCGCAGAAGAAGAAGCCAGCCCCGCCTCCACCGCTCATCGATCTCCGCCCTCTGGCCAAGCGTGACCCGCGGGATCCCCCCCCAGGCGGATCGGGATCGCGGGGCGGTGGCGGATTGGACAAGGCGGCGGTGCTGACCAGGATCTGGGAGTCGACAGTCCGAGCTGTGCTGTGAGGCAGCACTCCGGAGCAAGCACCCTGCAGGTCCCCGCCTCGTCTTGCTAGGTTGGTGTAGCTCAGGGCTGCTGTAGAGTAGCCGAGCCGGCCTGTAGCTCCCTGCAAAGCCCTGCATCTGCAATCGCCTGAAGTGTGCGTTCGCGCATGCGATGGCGTTGTCGTGTGCGGCGACAGCGAGCGGCCTGCGTTTTGGCGCGAGCGAAACTTTAGGCTCATACACTTTCTTCCTTTCAAATTTTATCATTTAATTTTCGGCACTTGTGCTCGTCTTGCTTTCAACGTGCCTTGTTCGTTGACATCCTCAGCATGACGAAGATTCGGGCCCAAGATCAGCCGAAAATTTTGTTCAGTAGGGGGCTGGGTCGCTCTCGGGCTGTCGGCTCAATGGCTGCCGCTGACCGCGTGAGTGCTTCTTTTCCAGCGAGTGACGATGCCACCCTTCCAGGCGATGACGATGACATGGTCGAGGTTCTCATTGAACCTTTGCCGCCGACGCCGGAGCCTGCTGCAGTCGCCACTCTTCGCGACCTTCAGGACTTGCAGGTCCACGTGGGTGCCCAAGTGGCGCCAGTGGCCGATGATGTGGCTGGCCTCATCTTCCAGGTCGGTGAGCTTCAAGCACAGGTGCGTACTTTGAAGACTAATGTTCTGTCTCGCCTTGATAGCCTGGCTGAGAGAATGACTGAGCTCGAGGAGGCGATGGCCGAGGTAGCCACTGCCATTGCCCGTCTTGCTGTCACCAGTGTGCTGCCTGTGCCTCACTCTGACGGCAGCCGCTAGGCCCTGCTTTCTTTCAGGGCCGTCGTTTCGGTGACGTCTACCAGGGAGACTTGCCTCCGTGGGCTGTCGATGACCGACGCCGTGGCACTTAGGACTTTTGTGAGCTCTGCAGTTGCGTTGCATTTTGCACCGGCGCCTGCTTTGCAGATCTCCTGACATAGCAGCTGGCGATGCCCAGCCCAGATCGTGCATCACTCAGACTGTGTGCAAAACAGCATTCCTGCGGCGCGATCCCTCATTTCGAGCCTGCGGGTGTCTGCATTGTGCTGGTGCTGTGTTTTTGCATTCCGCAAGTCAACTTCTGCGCATGCCCGTATGCAACCACGCTTTTAGTCTACAGGCGTAGGTCTGCCGAGCTAGTGGTGGTACCTATGGGTATATGCAGCCAGGCCTCTCCGAAGCTTTTGGCCTGATCGATCGCATTCAGCGGTTACTTGCCATCTTTCGCTTGTGGATCCACGAAGCACGTGGTAGGTTGGACGTTGCATTTCTTGAAATTTCTTCTTTGAGAGTGCAGCTGCACGGGCTTGAAACTTCTCAAGCCGCGAGCCACAACATCCACTTGAACTTTGAAAGACGGTTTCTTGATCTTGAAGAAGGACTGGAGGACACACAGGAGCGTCAACGCTCTGAGCTTCTCAGGTTTCGCCTGCTGCTTCAACGCCTCCACCTGTGGCTTGCATTGACTTGCATCGGTGCACTTCAGCTTTTGCGCCTACTGCTGGACTAAGAAACCATGTCTTCTCCTGCTTCCGCCGGGGCAATGGAGAGGGCCCTGACCCGGCGTGCCGTCTGGGTCCACGACAGTTTTGCAGTGCATCGGCCGCAAACCTCTTCCCGTACTGCTGATTTCGCTCATCAAGTCGCTTTCGCCAAGTTTTGTGAGGACATGCAGACACAGCAGGAACCGCTGGCCGAGCAGTTGGCCAGACAAGCCTGGGCTCGCCATGACATCGACCACCCCGATGCTGCTTCGTTGACGCCTTCGGAATCTGGAGATATCGGTGAAGAACGAGACCCTCATACCGTCTTCGCTGGTCTGTCCGATGAACGCAAAGAAGCCTTGGCTGCCGGATCCAGCTGGGAGGCACCGACCCGCATCGTGCATCGCGCTCCCTCTGAGCCGCCGGCTACAGATTCTGAGGGCCATGGCGATTGGTTGCGCGGCCTCAGTGGCCGTCTTGATGACGTTGAGAGCTTTTGCGGGTCAATCATCGACCCCCGGTTCTCTCGTAGTCTTCATGCTCGCTTACTCCGAGTGGAGCGCCTGCTGAACGTTCCCGAGCAGTAGCTGTGTTCAGACCATATCACATGTGCACCGGATCCCTGGTCCCAGGCTTGAGAAATCCGGCCGTATGCCTTTGCCTTTCAGTTTCATGCACGTAACAGCATGCGCTGACACACGTGCTGATCTGAGCGTCTTGCTTTCCGCCAATATTCATAGCGGGGGGATTCAAGCCCCATTGGCTTTGCTGGGTCGACGCTCCCTTTCGAGGTCCGGATGTCTGCAATAAATCTTCTTCTAGCTTTGCTCCGGACGTCTGCAATAAGTCTTCTTCTAGCTTTGCTTGAGCAGGCCAGATCTCTTGACGTACTGAGGTGGCCCATTTCTCAGCAACCCGGGCTGTTGAAATGTGCTCCCGGTAAGCTGTCACTCGGTCCTTGTTGCAGGTTGCTGTCGACATCGCGAGCTTCAGGCCGATCTTTTCCTGGCAAGCCGGTGCCAGAGTTCGGCAAATCTTTCGGGAGGTCGATCCGTCTGGTGATCGACGTCCTGCACTTCAGGCTGCCTTTTGCCTGGCAAACTGGTGCTGGGATGTGACGAGACCAGTCTAGAAGGTCGGGTCCTCCTGGCTCCGGCGACTTTCGCAGCCTGACTCTCAGCAGTTCCACTCCCAGCAAACTGGGCTGGGAATCGGCATGACTGCTTTGCGGCAGGAGACAACTCTCCTGTGGAAGCCGCGATCTCCTCAGCAACCGGTCTGAGCGAGTCGCCTGGTTCGACGTTCCGAATCTCGGCAAACAGGAGCTGGGAATCTTCGTCACCCCGTGGCTGTTGGCGTTCTCCTGCCGAGCCGCGAGCTCCTCAGCAACTGGGTTGAGTGAGTCATCTGGCGTGGCGGTCTCTCGCAGGTCTGAGACCCTAGTCCTCCAGACTGCCACGTCGTGGGCTCCAGCAACTGGGTTGAGTGAGTCACGTGGCCTGGCGATCTCGCAGGTCTGGGGCTCTGGTTCTCTGGGCCGCTCGACGGCTTTGACACCAACCATGATATGCTTCGGGTCGCCGTGGCCGACTCAAGTTTCTTATCATGGCTCATGCGACTTTCGTGGCAGCTCTTTCAGGTCGGTGATCCATGCTTCGGCTCGTGGTCTGCCTCATGCTGGATGCCTGCCGTGAGCACCGGGACTTGTTAGCTCCAGCCATAACTCGGTTCAGCACCAAAACGTATGTGCCTTGAGATGCTCCGGTTTGCATTGTTTGCAACACCGATTCCATTTGACAGCGGGGTTGCCAGCATCGTCTTGTTGTGTACAGGTTCCAGAGCTTAACTGCACTGTGTAGTCGATCGGTGTTCGCCCTAGCGACATGGACTCCTTGACTGATGAACAACGGGAGTACCTTGCCACACTGAATCGTCGTGGCCCGGCTAGGCTGCGTGATGCCAGTCGCTCTCGCAGCCGTGACCGCCGTGCCATCGCTTCTTCGACCGATGAGCGCTCTCGCCCTTGGCGTGCACCGAGTCCGCTGCTGGTCCAAGGACCACCTGCTCTTGCGGAACAGGTGCGGCTCTTGCAGAGCAGCATCGAGATTATTGAGCGCCGCCTGACAAACCTCAACATTGGTCAAACGCAGCTGCTCATGGTGCTTGGACACCACCCAGACTTTGGGGTTCCGTTCGGGGCCATCGCTGAGTTTGTTGACACCATGAAGGCCACCGTTCAGGACATCAAGGCGTCGATCGAGGATCTTCGCGCTAATTCTGCAGAGCAGTGCATGCTTCTTAGCAGCCGCCTTGACCGCCTCGAGGAACTGGTTCAGGCTCGCACGTGACTGGATCGCCTGGTGCCGACTTAGCTCTGTGTGACAAAACGTGCCGCTCAAACTTAAGTGATGTCTAAGTGCCGGTAACATTTCATGCCGCCTTTGCATTGTTGCCTTATGGCCTGTTTTCTTCTCGAGATCGGGGCCAATGGTGAACTTCCGCCGCCGATGGAGTTTGCAGGCATCTCGAGCCTCTGAAGATGCTCGATCCCGGAGTCCTTCCGTTCGCATTGCTGAAGCAGCAGAGCGTGCTGATTCTTTCTTCGAGGAGCATTCACCTCTTCTTTCGGAAGATGCTAGGTCCTGGAGTCCTTCCTTTTTCAATGCCGCATTGTGCGCCGGTTCTCCCCTTGGAGATCTGGCTGACAGCAACCACGGCCTAGATCCGGCCCCCGAACGCAGCTCGGGATCCGATGGATGGGAACGTGTGGGCTCTGCACTGCCTCAGGACCCTGGCCCGGTCCTAAGTTCCGAAGTTCAGCGAGCCGTGGTGTATCAACGTGATGTGTCCCTGCCGAAGCTTCCCTACGAACATGGCATTTGGGGCCTCGTCTTTGGGTCTCCTGCATCCCTGCCCACCGCCCGCTTCCCTGCACCAGTTGGTCCCCGGCCTCAACCGATCCCCACCCCCCCTGACCCGTCCACGAATTCCCTCGAGCTCTCTGCTGCAGCTCCCCCTGACGTCAGCCTGGCCCGGATCAAAGCCGCCACTTTTCGTGTCACTGATGCAGCCCTTCGTGACCGTTGCTTGGTGCAGCTTAAGACTTTGTTGCTTCTTGACCCGTCGGCCACCAAGACCGGCATTCAGATGACTACGTGCTTCGGCAAAATTTTGGAGCCTGACCGAGCCCTCTTGGTTCTTCAGGACACGTTGCGGCCCAAGGCCACTGGCACCATCAGCAAACGCACGGGCTCTCTCTGGCGCCTGGCTCACTACCTGGCCTCCGTGGACGGCCGCAGCCCCTTCATGGTTTCGGAGCCCCTGCTCTATGAGTATCTCTGCTCACTTCGTGAAGCTGAAACTGGTGCTACCTCCGGCGCCTCCGCTTTGGAGGCCTTACGCTTCGCTGATGGTTTGTTTCGCTTCCAGCGGATCTCTCTGCGTGAGGTGGACAGCGCCCGCATTCGTGGTGTGGCGCATGCCATGTATGTTCGCAAACAAAAGCGCCAGCAAGCCCCTGCCTTGACTGTTCGTGCCATCCGCTTCCTGATGGCATGGTGCTGCGACCCGTCCCGGCCTCTGCATACGCGCGTTATCTCTGGCCACCTTCTTGCGTGCATCTTTGCAGTCGCACGTTGGTCTGACTTGCGCTTCCTTGCCTTCTTCCGGGTGCTCTCTGACGACGAGTTCAGCATCTTCGAGTCCGCGACTTCCCAGCACAAGACCGCACACTCCAAGGAGGCCCAGGTCGAGCTCCTTCCATTCATTGGCTTAGGTCAATGGCCGGGCTGTGAGTCATGGGCTGCGTGTCTTGAGACTCTTCGAGCCGAGTCCGACCTCTCGCACTTGGAGGGTCGCGGGGGTTAGTAAGTATTTGAGCCACTTAGTATGGGGTTGGAGCGGTTAGAATAAGCAGTTATATGACATAGCATAAGTGCTTTAAACCAGTTAGTTTGCACACACATAAGCCACTTAGCTAAGTAGGAATAAGGGACTTAGGTTAAAAGGACTAAGTCACTTACGATAAGTGGACTAGTGCACGAGTAAGCACTTATCTAAACACACTAAGTGAGTTGCCGATGCCACGAAGACCGTATATCCGATATCCCGCAATTGCTTCAAAGCAAACCCCGCAGCTGAAGACGTCGTAAGCCAACAATAATATTTGGCCAAAAATATCGCGACCCTGTCCAAAGTTTTTGATTTAAAGACACGTCTTATTGGCCTGCATCGCTGCCGAGCCGGGCCTGCTGCAGCTGGCTGCCTCCAGCAGGCCGGCTTCGATATGTGGTTTGGCACGAGCTGGGTTTGATCAAAAGGTGCCATACAACTCCGGCTCCAGACATGAAGACCGAACGGCACAGAGAGCAAACACCGAACTCCAAGTTCAACTTTCTAGGAAACCTCAGAGAGGAACTGCAAAAGTACCGAGTATAAACTATCCCAAAAGTTGTTTCACAAGTAAAGCGAAACCCAGGGCTGTTGTTTACATAGGACCTGGGATTAGCTACAACATTGGAACAGGAACAAAATCCACAAAGGTGAATGGCAGCCTGGCTGAATGGGGATCTTTGGGTTTTGGAGCCTGGTTGGTTTCATTTGTCTACTGTGTCATGTTTTATTTGGCTTTCATTTAAATATATGTATATATAGGCATACGAGTTTTACTTCGACAGTCTCCACTTAAGGATTTCTTGGCATGACTTTGATTGGCATGCCTATGTAGGCTTCTTGTGGCATCGGGTTCGAGATATTTGGTAAATGCGGCGCTAGCACGGGTGGAAGAAAGCTACCATCCTAAACCGTAAACCCCAAACCCCAAACCCTAAACCCTAAACCGTGAACCCTAAACCTCAAACCCGAAACCTTAAACCCTAAACCTCAAAACCTAAACCCTAAACCGTACACCCTCAACCTCAAACCCGAAACCCTAAACCGTAAACCCTAAACCTCCAACCCTAAACCGTAAACCCTAAACCTCGAACCCGAAACCTTGAACCCTAAACCTCGAAACCTAAATCCTAAACCTCCAAACCCCTAAACCTCAAACCCGAAACCCTAAACCGTAAACCATAAACCTCCAACCCTAAACCCTAAACCGTAAATCCTAAACCTCAAACACCAAAACCCTTCAACCCCTGAACCCTATAAACCGTAAACCCTAAACCTCAAACCCTAAACCCTAAGAAACTTGATCCTTATAAACCCATGCAGTGCTGCAAACAGTATTCGGAAACCCTGCACAGGAACATCATGCTCGTTTTACACTGCCCAAGCTTGCGGGATCACGGTGGCCAGTACACCGTCACTCTTAACGATACACGGCCCTAGGATTTCGAGAGTGGTTACGAAAGTAAGGTTCTGCTTTTGCACGGTGAATACATTATCCCCCTTGCCCTCGAAGAATGCGATGCAAGTGAGCATGTGCTCTGCCCATTGGCAATGGCACATGATTTCACCAACCCCTGATGGCTCCCGCACAACCACGACATCCCCAGACTTCAATAGCCTCCATCTGGGAACACTTGCAGAGGAAGAAGTTTCCAATCCAGCGAGGAGTGCTTCGGGAATACCGAAGTGAGAACCGAAGAGCGCCTTGAACTCCGAGTTGGCGGGTTTGGGTGTGTGCAAGCCGGGACGGGGAACGAGGTCTTCCTCCTCAAGCGCTTGGAGGTGTGTGAGGAACACCTCCTGAAGCAGGTGTTTTTCGCTTCCTGCCTGAGCATTGGCCTGTTGGTTTGCATACCTTTTCAACTCTTTGTGTCTCCTCTCGTGCACAAAACAACTGATTAAACATCGCTTTGTTTGAAGCTGTTTGCTGAGGTGTAAAGCCATGTGTGCCTTAGGCAGCAGGGCCTTGTCTGGGTACACTGCCTTGAAGCAGTCCAAATGGGATTTGATCGCCGTTCCGAGCTCGGCAGGGTCGACATTCCCGAGGAGGGTCTGTTGTAAGAGGTCTAAGACTTGGCATAGGAGCATGAAGGAGTTGATTGCCTGACGAACCTCAATTCCAAGACCTGGTTTCCTTCTCACTTCCTGCAGCCAGAGCCTCATCACAGGATAGGCTCCCAAGGCTTCTGAAGCTGATGATTTCAGATCGTGCTCAGCCGTTCGCTTCTTCTCGAAAAAGTTCTTCACACCCGAAGCTTTGGATCGTATCCAAGATGGCCACGTGCACTCCTGGAAGAAACGATGTAGCCCATCCTGCGGGATCCCAGCCCGAATGAGGACCTCCAGCACTGCATTGATTTCCACGTGCAGAAGCCCTGCCACTAGAAACACGTGCATCCAGTCAAACATCAAGGCACGAATGGGGTCGAACAGGTTCATCACGTTCTCGCTGAACAAAACGCCTTGTGGCGAATAGTTGATGCCCAAACCCATTTGCAGTTTGCCGAATTCGTCCTTGTTCAAAATGGCATGCTGCGAACCCAAGTGTTCGACGGTCTTCCTCAAGGATTCCCTGGAATGGAGAAGAAATCGGGATTCGTCGGTGCAGCTGTGTACTACCAGCTGAGGGTTGAGAGGCTGTGTTGCATACCGCTCGTTGATGCAGTTCCTGCAAAGGAAGCAAAGGATCTTCCCAGAGGCTCCTTTAAACTCCAGCATCTGCCTCAGTGCACTCTCGTCCGCCAGCAAGGTGTCTGCTGTGGCGACCAAAACAAAGCCAGGATTTCCAGGGAACCCAAGGCTTACCCCATGCAGCAGATTCGTGCCGGGCTCGAAGAAGGACATGATGCAGTGCTTCGTCAGCTGCGACAGCTTGTCCTGCAGCTGGTTCACCGTCTGTGTTCTGACACAGGTCAGAGTAAACCAGCCGTCTTCTGCCATCAGAGCCCGCCCAAACTCCTGGAATGCCCAGTAAAAGGCATGAACCTTTCTGGCATTGGTCACCTTAAGCTGGTTTCCCGGTGACACCTCATCAGAGTAGATGACCAGTCTCCATCTCCGGCTCATGTCGCATGGCGATGTTGCCAGGATGTTCTCGAAGAGTGCCCGGAACTTTGCACACGTGTGCAGGGCATGCCACAAACATGCCATGGGGTGCAGATACTCCACCTTCACCTCTCGACCCTTTGTGTCAACGAGGCTCCACTGTTTCAACAGGGAGCCGAAGGGAGTCTCAACCTGCATGGCCGACTGCCTGGATCTCTTGACGGCGCTTTTCGATATCCCTCTAGGCAAGCCAGACTCTCTGACAGCTTCAAGAATGGAGGCCAATCCTGCCTGGGAAACATAGTGCTTCCGACCGATGCGGCTGAGATCAAGTGCCATGGCACTTTGGGAGCGAGCAAAGCCCTGCTTCCCCGACTCGCGAGCAAAATGCCCTGCAAGTCGCTGTAGCTAGGAGAATGTATACAATATATTCAGTATATATACACTGCACCTACTGAGACCCGGGCCTCAGGATCCACGAATGGAATAGAGTCCACTGACAACCCAACTCCTCCATACTACATACACAATGATCTATATCCGCATGAGGTGCTGAAACAACGTCCAAGATTCCATGCATAAGACCTGTCAGAAAGCACTAGGCTCACTATTGCAATGCGAAAGCACACTCTGACACCATTCGGCGGCGGCACGAACTCGGATTCCGGCAATCACGTGAAACCATACTCGTATAAACCCCAAAGCCGAACAAGCCTGGAACCGACTCCGAACATGGCAACTTTTCTACACAGGTCCATATCAATCCAGCTCCACATCAGCACTGAGAACCGCACACGGGAAATCCACAAAACTAGGCCCTGAACCCAGTACTTTATACCCATAGCGCTTCCATAAATCCGAGATACATTGAGCCATGTGTTATATACCTAACTCCACACCAGTTTTTTGAACCTTATCATATAACTATCCCCCTTTCTCTATCCGATGGGTATTGCTGCTCGTCCCTGCTAGGCTGCGACTTCTGGGCCCCTCCAAGCACCAACAAGCATCCTTGCAAAATGGATGAATGCAGAAAGCCCAACCCCCTGTATCCCAAATCCCTATAAGCCCCAAAGCCCTATAAACTTCAAAGTCCTAAACCCTAAACCCCTAGACCTCTAAAGCCCTAAACCCTAAACCCCCAAACCTCTAAAACCCTAAACCCTATAGGCCCCGAAACCCCTAAACCCCTAAACCCAAAATCCCCAAGCTATAGACCTTGAACTATAATCTTATCCTTCCTAAACATATAACAGCCCGAACCTCAAGTAATGCAATCTTGTAAACCCTCCACATAGCCCTGCCATGCACAAACGGATCTGTGCATGCCGGGCCTTTCGAAGCCGATCTGAGAGATAATGGCAGTGGAACCTGCATCGACTTAAATTGGGCAAACAGACACATCTACTATACGCAGACTCTATAATATGAAAGACAGAACGGCATGCAAAGAGTCGTTATGCTGTTCAGTCTTGTCGGCCGCATCCATGCTGCGAGCATTGCAATCAAAACCTGTATAGCCTCAGAGACACATGATCTTCTGCAGGATCTTCACATCTGCATACTGGCCTTTTCGGCCTCTGCTTTGATCCGGAACTGCTTGCCGTCTGGGGACAGGTAGTAGCGGTCGGTTTTGGACCCATCGGGGCGAGCTCGCTCTTCCATCTTCCATCCCTTCTTCAAGGGGGTCGTCTTGGATACCTTCTTGACTCGATCACTGCTGCCCGCCTTCGCCTTAGCCTTCGCCTTGCCGGAAGCCTGGGATTTTGCCTTGGCCAAGGCAGGCTTGCCAGCTGGCTTCTCTGTCTTCACCTTTGCTGCTGCTGGCTTCTTCATTCCCTTTTTGTTTCCCAGGACCCAGCCTGCCACGTCAGCTGGATCCGGCTCGTCGTTGTCGGCCTGCTCCTGATCATCTTTCGGCTCTTCGGTGAGCTGCTCCACACCCGGCATGTTCAGCAACGGCTTGCCTCGACCCGGGTTTGCAAGGCACTGTGAGCCTGAAGGGCCCTGAGCATGGCCATCTGTGATGGCCGGCTGGTGCGGGTTCAAGGCCCCGGGCACGGAAGCAGGCAGACCCGCAGGGGTCGTCGATGGCAAGGCCTGCCCATGAGCCTGCATAGTCTGTGGGCCCAGATTGGTGATCTGCTGGCTTCCTGAGGACGACGAGAAGCCTCCCTGGCCGAAGATCTACAATCCCTGAAGTCCCTGCTGCTGCTGTTGCTGCTGCTGCTGCTGTGTCTGCTGCTGGTTCATGTAGTGCATCATCATCCTTCCCATCATCATCATCTGCTCGCCCGTCATCTGTGGCATCTGTGGTGCAAACATGCTGTTCTTGGGCATCGGTATCAGACCCTGCTCTTGTTGCTGTGTCGGTCCTTGGATGGCCTTTTTGGTCTTCCGGAGTGTCTGCACTTTGGCGGCCTGCATCACCGCCGCGAGCTCGACCGGTTCGGGGGGATCGCCCTGGTAGCTCTGCTGCAGCTCGGCTGGAAGCTGCGACACGAAGTCCGGGAACTTCTGCAGGACCACCGCCGGCGAGACCCCCTCCCTCTGCTTGTGAAGCTTTTTCTTGAGCTTCGTCACCCGATCGTAAAACTCGGCGTGATCTGTGGCCGGCATGCCGGCCGCAACGGCAGCAGCGATGATTCGGCCGACCGTGTCTTCGGTGGGCCAGAGCAACCCGATCTTGACCAGGCGGGTCACAAGCACATCGACTTTATCTGCGATAGTGATGGCCGGGTCGCCCAGCACCCGACGGTCTCCAGCACTGAGAAAGTTGTGAAAGGACGGGGCGGCCTGGTTGTCCTTCTTGGACTTGGGGCTGGCAGTGCTCCTGTCCAAGGCTTCGGAGAGCTGCTTTGACAGGCTTTCCTTAGCACTGTCCGGGAAGGGCAGCTTGCCGATACCCTGCGACAGCTTGGAGGCTTCGACCATGGTCACCTTTGGCAAGTTTGCCAAACGAGTCTTCAACGACAAGAACTGGCTGTTAACCATCTCCTCGTACACCGTCTCGGAGACGTTGTTCCTCTGCTCTCCCAAGAAATTCCCCAAGTTGCTCATGTCCAAGAGCAACTGATCGGCCGACGACATGTTCGGAATCAGGCAAAAGGCACAGATTTCTTGCTAGATCACGGTTTCTTGCTCGCGAGCAAAGCCCTGCGAACAAGTAGATGCGAGCACAGCCCTGCATCCACAAGTTGCTGTCTGCTTCAGGAATGCATGCTGCTTCCCGAGAACCCTGCCATCCTGCATGCCACTTCCCCGACAACCCTGCCTTCCTGCATTCTGCCACAACACAAGCTGCAACCTCAATCTCCTACACCTGAGACATACCAGAGGGGCTCCACAACAAGCACAGCGGGACACAGCACGACAGAACCAGTCACTGAGTTTGGATCTACTACTCAGGAGCAAAAAGAATGCAAGCAGCAATGCTACATCCTATGAATGGGTGGCCCGGGTCAAGGTTTGGCTTCTACAACCTGAGGATTTGCATGAGTGATACAGACCAACAGCCACCGGACACACTTGCAAAACTTTCTCGGCTGCTTTCCCTGGCACGGCTAAAACACAACACGAACCGAGCCACAGAGACCAGGACACCAATCGATTTAGGGATCCACGAGACCATGCGAAGTGCTGGCCCCTAGGTCACGAGTTTGTTGAAAAACAAAGTCGACCATCAAAAATTTGTTTTTCAACAAATTTCTTAATGCCGGGATCAAGGAAATTTGTTGAAAAACAAAGTCGCCCATGGAAAGTTTGTTGAAAAACAAGTTCGGTCAGGGCGAACTTGTTTTTCAACAAAGTCGGCTCGGAATATGTGTTCTCACCTTGACCATGGGGAGGGCCCCCACAGGGGGAACTCTCGCGATTTTTTTTTGCTTTTTTGGTCGCTGGTTGAAAACCACAGCCTCGGAGCCAAACACGGGCCTGCTAGCCTTCTCATTTGGTAACCCCTGCCTATGTTTTGCATGTTTTTTTTGGTTTTGCTGTTTTGTTTCGGAAAACCTCGGCCGCCCTCTCCAGACCCGACCCCCCCCGAGACACCTGCCTAGGCTTGTTCTGGTTCCGAATCCTCCAGAGTTAGGGGGATGGCCTTTGGTGCTGTGCTGTGGGATCATGCCACGAAACTGCAAACATGGAGATGGACACGGCACTGGCTTCGACTGCTGTTTCACTCTAACTCACGAAAGCTCTGCGAAAAGACAGCTCTGTATCGCTTGCAGCCGGCAAGGATTCTCCATGAGGAAGCACTATGCAAACATACAGTCCCACCCCTATCTGTGTTTGTATATAATAGAACACAACATAAAAAAGTATAGTTTAAGTTCATATACGACAGCACAATATCATATGATATTTTCAATATAATTCATATAATATACTAGAATATAATATCATATAATATAATGTAATGTAATATCATGTTGTGTAGTATACTACAATATGATATAATATATAGAATAGAATATTATATAATATAATATCTATATCCATACGTATAAATATATATACACACATAACCGTACACTTCGTCCTAATATCCTATCCACATCCCGGCTTCCCCAGCTGTACAGTGTGCCGTCGGGCTGCCTTCAACATGTACACGGATCTGGCAAGCAGAAGAACTTCAGCCTATTGTCCCGCACTACAACATTTATCCCATTCTGTATAGTCCTTAAAACCACTAGATCCTGCAAGAAGCCTGCGGGCTGTGAAACATGCTCAATGCCATCGGCCGGTCACTGCATCCTGAAAGGCCAAGCTTTGCTACATCCGACACGAAACAGAACACAAAGTATATCCCGACTGCACGGAACCTCCTGACTATCATGGTTTCAAGTGAAGATCTAGGCCATCTACAGCATTTATGCAGCCGACCATGCACAAGCACAGGTATGAGGAAACACGGGCGAGGTGACCCAAAGCATCCAGGCTTATGTGTAGGCTGTATACCACATACACATGCACCCCGTCCGTGGTGTCTCCGACCACACAAGCCGACTTCTGCGACATCTTGAAGTTGCCACTGGCACAGATTTCGAAAGAGATCCCTAGCACAGTGCATGCAGCCTGCAGTTCGTGGCTTCCTGACATATCATAAGGGAGAAAGTTTATATTAGGTATGTTACATAGATACACGTGTTTAGGGTTTGGGGGGTTGGGGTTTGGGGTTCGTGCTCTGTGTAGGTTGTATATATTCGATATATCATGGAAGCCTCTATAACTGTAGACCGACTACACCAAACATGCATCTGAAAGTGTGTGGCAGACATGACTGCATGGATCTCTGGTAGATTGGCTGCAAGCACGGAACGGAGAGTGCTGGCGACCCGGGCACAACAAGCCTATATGGAAGTTAAAGCTGGAAGATTTCAGGGTGCACGGGGTTCCAAGCTAGAGCTGAAGGGCTGTATCATGCATAAGTACGTATACATAGGTCGCCCGGGCACCCAGCCGTTCACTGCACCGACCTGTCCAATATGGCCGTCATTCTGTTCATGGCAGCCAAAGCAGACCCAAGCTGCTGGATGTGCAAAGCCTGCATCTGCACTTTCTCATTGGCGGCCTTGGCTCTTTTGGCCTGCTCCTTTTGTCCTCCCCTCACTCGATGGCGATCGCGACCATGGCCAATCCTGGCTTCAGGTGATTGGTGATTAGTGATCTGCTTTTCGTTTTGGTTAAGAACATACCAAGCAAGACAGCAGAAAATGAAACCAACCATAGCCAAGACTCGGGTAAAAGTGGTTGTTCGCCGACATCCAGCCGCCCTCCACGTAGTGGCCCTTGCAGCTGCCGTCGGAGCTCGAAGCCATCTAATCATCCCTGCCACGGTCGCCCCACTTGTTCTCTTGCTTGGCCTCGTACTTGACCCCCTTGTACCAGGGAGCCGCCTCCTCGCCCTCATACCATGCCGCCCATGACTTATCATCCGCTTCTTCGGTATGGGACCACCATTCCTCCTCCTCCTCCTCCTCCTTGCTCCATCCCACAGTCTCCACACCGTACTTGTTCTCCAAGTACTCTTCCTCGGGCTCGGCTTCCATTTCCTCCTGCTTCACCTCGATGATGAGCCGCTTGCTGCGATTGGCATGTGCATCCATGATCACCGAACGAACAGGGACCTGATGAGGGGCCGAAAACACCTACCAGTGATTCCAACAAAAGGCTCCCACAACGGCAGCAGCGAGCATGGAACAAGGTTGAACATGCGATCTCACTTTGTCTGCATGCACTGCATGAAGCATGTCGGCTCCTACACAAACAGAAGTAGCACATCGCCTGCGACATGTCACCGAGAAACAACATAGACTCAATTGTCGAAATTCAAACAATGCTTCTGATGAGTTTAGCCAATCCCTCAGCATGAAAAGCACTTTTGCAACCCATCCGCAAAATCTAGCACTTACTCCACATCTTTGTCACTCGCACCTTCGGCGCCTGAGCCTTCGCCTTGCTCACCCAGTTCGGCCTGCTGGGCCGGTTCGGCCTGCTGGCCCGAATTGTGCTTTCTTTTCCTGTGTCGTCTTCCAGGACTGGCCTTAGACTTGGCCCGCTTTGGCTTCACAGGCAAAACCGGCGAATTCCGAACAGCATTGCGAACATACCGTAGATTGCCCTCAGTGAGTTCCATCCATAGATCGCCCCGGATGGCCCAGAGCAATCTGAGGGATCTCGGCTCCTCGATCACCGCCTGATCGCTGTCGTGGATGGCCGGCACTTCGACACTGACTGAACTGCCCACTAAGAACTCATCTTGTTGTTGAGCAAGTCGAATCTTTGCTGGCTTCTCTTTGTTTTCTGCTTCACATGCTTCAATGATTACTTTGCGAACTGCTGCATTGCATGCCTGCACCCTCAGCTCAGCAAGATCACGAAAGAATTCAACGTTGATGGAGTGAACCGGCTTGACACCCGCCTGGTGCAGGTTGAGAGCACGGCCAGTGCAAAATTGCACGAACTCCCGGTCCCATTTCGACAGCTTCAGGAATTCCACCCCGGCCACGGTCTGAACAGATGGGAGCCATGGGTTTTTCAAGCCAGGGCCGGTGATGCAAGTGGCCTTGTAGACGGCGATTTCAACCTCGTTCTGCAATGCTTCTTCTTCTCCTTCGGCTGGGACGACCTCCTCGGCCATGGTTATGTAGAGGCAGCGAGCACGGCCCTGCTGCCTATATTGCCCGCGAGCTAGAGCCCTGCAGGCATTTATTCATGGATCATCGAACCGAAAGCATTCACAGCACACATGTGTGCATGCATGGGCCAGCAATCCCTGCATGTGCAAGCCAGCTTGTTATGCACATGCTCTGCATGTGCATATAACTGCATAACAGCAATTGCAAAAGAAAACGTTTTCATCAACCGGCAAAACTTCCTGAGCTCTTCAGCCTGCACCCAATCGCGATCCCGACGACATCATGCCAAAACGAGGCCCGGGGACCTCTGCATGCTTATTCTACCGTGCAATGCTCAGTGAGTTCGAAGTTTCTTCGAAAGTCGGATCAGTGCCTCGGGCTGCTCGGGTTTGCCCGTCTCCGGGCGATACAGGAGCAGCGACTGCCCCGCACTCACTTTCCTGATATTCTTCACATAAGGCAACTGGATCTTCCTATAGTCCGGAGTCAACTTCTCGGAGCCCTTGCCAACGACTTCCATGTTGGCCTCGGTCCTGTCGCTCGTTGTCCGCATGATCCATGTGGGATTCACGAAACCCTGCCCACTTCCCTGGCCATCCTTGGGGAACTGAACCATTGGCAGGATGTACAGGATGTGGTCCTCGCTGGACGTTTTGATGCACCCTGCTTTGATGGATCCGGAAGGGCTTGTGGAGCTAGAGGATCGTATGTCCAATCTCGGTGAAGTCACAGGCAGGCACAGCTTGCCTTGCCCGAAGTCCTTGCTAACTTGCACATCCCGACAATCTGGCAAAGGCACGGCCTCGGCCTTTGGGACATGATGGCGCCAAAGGCCCTCGACGAACGACTGTGATGACACCCTGCATGCACTGAAATCCTGCAACACCAGATCCACGTGGTCTGCGGTCATCTTCTTGATGGTTCCCACCACCTCGTCCGCCTTTCGCATCACCATGTTCCCCACTTGGAAACCAAGCTCCTGCAGCCTCGCATCATTGACCAAGGCCCCAGTGGAATCGAATTTTCGAAGGGCCCTCGGTATGGATGAGAATGGAGATGGAAGCGAGTGAAATACCCCTATATCCAACCTTTAGCCTATATCCCAAACTCACAGACAAACTTATCCCAAACAGACGGTGTGCGAGCCGACTGCACCATCCTTCGAGGGAGACACATTCTGTGACGAGGATGCCGAGCTCACCCATGGGGATGTCAACCCCAAACCCTGGAGACAGTCGTTACAGGCCTCATATACGGTCTCCCTCTTTGTAAATTTCTTCTTTTGCAGGATCACAGCAGCCATCTCGACTTCCACTTCCGACAAAGTGGCAAACTTGACCTCTGGTGTGAGATGATTGGCGGAGTTGAGGATGCTCTGCATGTCCCTAGACATCTTTTCAGCCTCGGCTGCTTTTGCCAACATGCCTCCCTGCAATGCCTTCCTCACATCACTGGCCGACAACACTTTGTCCTGCCCGGTGAAGGCAAGCTTGAGAAGCATGTGCCTCCAGTGAACGTACTGCAGCTTGCCTTTGACCTCGCTGGACAAGGCCTGCCACATCTCAGGACCCAGCGACCGTTTGGGCTGGCCGCGCGCCCGAATGTGTCGCTCCGACTTCGAAAGGAAACTTTCGGGATCACATCCGCCTCCGCATTTGACCACGAAGGCAAATATGCCCGGTAAGGCCGATGCACTCGGTGGCCGAGACCGCAAAATCTCTGGGGCAATGTCACTGTACTGGACAGTGCTTTTGCCTTGCTTCTTCAGCATGGCATCAATCGACCTGTTGACCTTGGATGCAAGCTGTAGCTCATGCTCCACAGCGGCCACTTGGGCCGCTGTATTGCCAGCTGACTGTGCCAGGGGCACGAACTGCTCGAAGGCTTCGGTTACACTGTAGGAAATGATGGTCCATTCAACACCGTTCTTGATGGCGGTGGCCCATGCCTGGTCAAAGGTAGCCACCTTCTCCACCGACAAACGGTTGTCGATGGTGACCTTCTGGTCATGGTGCATGACTGCAGCCCTGAATGCACGAAACGTTTGGTTGCTGTGGCTCCCGACTATACTTGCATACCTGATGTTGCCCATGTCAACAGGGGCCAGTTTGGAACTGGACTCGGCCACGAGTGCCCGGTTGAATTCTCGCACTCTGTCTCCCCTGTGGTCGTCCGGTACTTCCACACAGACTGAGCGAAGTTCAGTCTCCACGAACCCTATGCTTGCGATCGATGAAATAAGGTCCTGCACGTGGGATGCTGAGACCCCTTGCCCGTCCCTGTTTTCGTAGTGCACCCCCACCAAGTCGGGGTTCAGGCGGAGGCGCCAGGCGAGGTTTCGTGAGAACAAGTGCTGCATGAGTGTGTTCATCGACTGGAGAAGGCTCCCTGCGGCAGCCTTTTGCAGCAAGTCTGCGATCACCTTGTGGTCTTCAGGAGCCAGCGACATGATGGCACCAAGTCTAAGCACTTATTAATCTCCTGCGAGCAAAGCCCTGCAGGATTTCACTTTGCGAGCCATGCCCTGCAAAGTACTACGAAATATAAAAAAATAAATAAAGCTGCAAAACCGCCAAGTTCCCTATCCAAACCCTATATAGGAAGCCAAAGGGTAGCCGCAATCAAAACGACTGAGCCGAAGTCAACCCTATACATGCACATCTTCAAGTCAGCACAGCAGCCCGAAATATGCCAAAGAAATGAGATACCCCATGCAAAGAAGCCTGCAGCCACCACAACACAAACAAACCATATACTCTTTGTGCATTCGAAAAGACACGTCCCCCCACCCGAGACTACACGACCACACCCGACACAAACCCGGCACTACAACGAACCCCAGAGCCCTTCGGAAGAGAGCCGGCCTCTTCGGGCAGGCAGCCGCTGCAGGCCCGGCGAGGCACCAGGCGAAGGAGGTGGGAGGTTGGCTTCGGGGTATATATGCTTTAAAAAGTTCTAAACTCTACAACACAAAAGTCGCTCTCGAAACAGCAGTTCCTTTAAAATTTGTAAAAGCAAACGAAAGCAGCAACAAATGTGTGGTTTAAATTTCGTGTGTGCATGTGTATGTCTGCCTACTTTTTTGGCTCTCAAGTTCCTTTCTTTGGCCATATCTACTGGGCGTAAATGGACTTACTACAAGTGCCCTAACTCAGTTATTGCAAACCATCTAACTAAATAAACCACTTGAACTAACTGCTTGTGTCCTGCCCCACAACTGACTTACCAGGGCTAGCTGCTAAGTACTGCAAGCAAATAGCTAACACTTAAGTTTCTAGCACAACCGTTTAACACCGCAGGTAATTGAAATTTATCCACTTGCTAAATCATGTCACCACTTAGCCAGCATAGCTTCCTGCACTTACACCACTTGACACACTTGCTAACTCCACTTACACAACATAGCTATGTACTTGCTTACCGCAACAACTCGCCTTTTCCTTTACTAACCACCGCGACCCTCCAAGCAGGGCCTGCCATCCTGGAACGAACGCGAGCAGAAGTGGGCTCTCGGTGATCCCATGACTACTTCCGAGGCCACTGGATGGTTGCGGGAGATCCTCTCTCACGAGCTTGACCCCACCGATGTGCGGGCACTTCGAGCCCACTCCTGCAAAACAACCTTGTTGGCCTGGGCTGGCATGAGCCCTCTCTTCACTCGTGAAGAACGCACACTGCTTGGACATCACATTGAGGCTTCTACTCGGTCGGCAACTACATACGACCGCCAGGCCATCATTCGTCTTCAGGCCAAGGTCTGGCACATGCTGATTTCCATCGACTCCGGCGAGTTGAATCCTGATGCTGATGCTCTTGGCCGATTGCGTTCCATGGTGCAGGTACATGCACCCCGTCCAGCTTCTGCTCAGACCTCCGCGGAACCTGCATCTAGCTCTTCTTCCGATGATGAACCTGCCGGTCTTCCTGCACCGCTACATCGAGATCGAGTTCCCCTGCCGGCCGCCGCCTACGAGTACGCCTGGCTTGTGCACTCTGTGAGCGGTATTGTCCATGTGCAGTCTCCCCACTCACCTGAGCGTCTGATGTGCGGTCGCTCCATTTCTTGCAATTTTGAGCATGTTTCGCCAGCCGACCTTGATGTTGAGCAGACTGCATTTTGTGGCCAGTGCAGCGCCTCACGTTTGCTGTCCGCCGCTGCATGACTGTGCCTTGCCGAGAAAATCGCTTTGTGCTTGCCTTGCCTAGCCTTCGCATTTTGCCTCTGCCTCAGCTTGTGGTCTGTGCCCGCACCGAGTTACGGCTCACCACGGCAATTCAGACTGCGCCATGGCCTTGGATTCTTCAGCTACTTTCGAGGCTCGCTGCCTGGAGCTCGGATTGGCCGCGACCTTTGTGCAAGAGCTGCATACCGGGGGCATTGACACATATGCCTCTCTTGCCTTCTGTCAGCCACACCAGGCTAACAGTGGAATCGACGATGTTGCACTTATGCGTCACGTGAGCTCGCTCGTCTCTTCAGCTCTCTCGGCTCACCAGACCACTGCATTGCGACGCCTTGCGTTTGAGGCGCAGGCTCTGGCTCTTCAAGATCTGCGCAGCAAGCTTGAACGTACCTCAGATTCCGAGCCGAAGGTTCTTCCCTTACAGGAGAAACTCGAGCGCAGCTCTCGCCTACAGAATCGGCTCGTCGGGGTCACCTTCACTGATCACAATCAGCCTGCGCATGCCCTGGTGGACAAGGCATCTCAGCAGTTCGATGAGGGCGTCCTTCAATACCTGCAGCTCAACAAATGCATCAGCCGTTACCAAGAGGCCCTCGCTGAACGCTCTTCCGCCTCTCTGCGCTTCGGCTCGGATGGTGCAATCAAGGTGTCGCGGGAGTCCGCGGGTGGTGAATGTGACATCTCCACTGCCCACCTCCTTCGTGCCGCTTTTCAGCGGCGGGCCATGGCTTACGATATTGCAGGTGTTGCCACCTACGAAGCTCTGGACGCCTGGGCCCAGAATCTCTTTGATCGTCTTGCGACTCCTGTGCCGTCCAGTCGTTACTCTCCTATTGGCCTCGAGCAGATTTTGGCTGCCGACAAAGCCCTTTGGGTTCGCCTGTCTCAGCTGAGCCGTGGGCTTCTGGGTCGCAGTGACGCCGCCACAGGTGCCTTGCTGGTTGACAATTTGATTCTGGATTTGAGCAACCACCCCGAGGTCGTCTGGCATTTCCTCCCGCTGGCAAATGCTTCTCACACCCCACCTCCCAAGCCTCATGCTGCTCAGCCTGCCCGCAAGCGCAAACGAAGCCAGAGGCGTGCCTCCTCTGCTCCCCCTGCGCCTGCTGCGTCACTGGGTCGAACCCCTGCGAAGGGCCCAGGCAAAGGCTCCGGCGCCGGCTCTCGCATCCAAGTGCCTGATGGCTGCACCATTCGCTTTTCCAAAGGCCCCATTTGCATGAAGTTCAACCTGGGGACCTGCCGCGCTTCTCATGTGAAGCCTGGTGCTCGTTGCAGCAACGGCTACCACGTGTGCTGGAAAATCGGATGCCACCGCCATAAGCCGGCCTGCGAGTGCAGCCACTCGTGACTACACGAGCCTTTGCAGACCGGCGATTTTGTCTCGCCGCCCCACGCCGGTCACCCTGCTGAGCAATTTGCGGCCCGCTTTGCCGACTCTGTTATGACTGCCGAGCAAGCCTATCAGCTTTTTGAACTTTTGCCTGCTGAGGCTCCGGCTCGTGCTGCGTCTCTGCTGCCTCAGTCAAAGTCTTTTACCACTGGAGCCTTTGCATACTCCAGCGGACCTGGCTTGCGTCGCCACACCCGTGTTTTCCCTTTGGCGACCAAGGCCCTTGCCGATTTTGTGCGAGCTACTTGTGCCACGCACTCTTTCTCCAGCATCGCTATCTTCCGCGATTTGACTGCTCCCCTGCATTTGGACGCCCTTAACCAGCCGTCCCAACCCAACCTGCTCATCCCTCTCACGGCCTTTTCAGGTGGAGGCGTGTGGTATGAGTCCCCCTCCGGCACTTCTCATCGCCTCTTGCACGGTGTCGTGACGCCTGGTTGTGTGCTTGATGTGGCCTCCGGGCCGGTCTTCCTTCCTGCTGCCGAGGCGCGTCACCAAACACTCCCTTGGGAGGGCACTCGCTGCGTTCTGGTTGCCTTCACTTCCCTTGACGCGCACACCCTGTGCCCCGCCGATCTCGACACTCTGAGTCGCGCCGGCTTCTCTTGTGGCGCCCCTGGCACGCCACAAGCTCCGCCTCCTGTCCCGCACACTAGCCTGCGACCAATGGCGGTCGAACTTTGCGCCGGCTCGGCCTCCCTGTCGGCCGCTCTTCGCGCCGCTGGCTTTGCCACTCTGGCGGTTGACCACCACTGGAATACGCATTCCCCGCAGCACTCCATCTGCCAGTTGGATCTCAGCTGCCCCCAGCAACAAGAGCTCTTGCTCCGATGGATGCGCACACAGCCGCTTGCACATGTGCACCTCGGCCTCCCCTGTGGCACCTGTTCGCGGGCCCGCGAACGTGCTCTGCCTCACGGTGTGCCTGGGCCCGCCCCGCGGCCTTTGCGTAATCTGCTCCACCCCCTAGGCCTCCCTAACCTCACCCCTGCCGAACAGCGCCGCGTCTGCCAAGCCAATGCCGTCTACTGGTTCGCTTTGGACGTCCTGGAGCTCGCCGCCAGCATGGGTGCCACCGTCAGCTTCGAGAACCCTTCTCGATCCTGGCTCTGGTCAGCGCTACGTGCCATGGCCGAGGAATCCCAACGTGTGCATCTCCTTGCCCAGCTCGAAGAATGCATCTTTGACTCTTGCATGCACGGCGGCCGCCGCAAGAAGAGCACCAAGATCTTAGGATCCCCCGGCCTCTTCAGCAGCCTCCGGGCCTCTTGCGACTCCTCACACACCCATGCGCCGTGGACCATTGACCAGACAGGCCGCGGGCCGCGCTTCGCCACTGCCGAGGAAGCGCAGTACCCTCGCTTGCTTTGCTTGCGCATGGCGCAGGCTCTGGCCACGCGTCACCAGCTCCCCGAGCCTGTGCCTACTGCTTCCGCCAGTCTATCTCAAAGCGTCCGCCGCGGCCCTCGCCCGCTCATCCCCGAGTTCTACGAGTGTGCCCGGGTGCCTGCAACCTCCACTCTGCAGCCCCACGAGCGCGTGCTGTCTTCTTTGCCATCGGGGGTATCAATCTCCCAAGACAGCATCCCTGAGTCTTCTTCCACTGCATGCGTCAACATCGGCCGACAGTGGAATCCTCAAGACTACTTGAATTTAGCCAAGCAGACCGAACATCCGAGGAATCCTGGCCAAGTTCTCCCAACGGTGCTGAAAGATGCCGTGGACACGGTGTTGACAACCGACCCGGTCGACACGGCAAAACGGCGTCTGCAGGCCGTGATAACCATCAAGCAGTTAGCCAAAGAGCTTGAAGGGAAAGAAGACGAGTTCAAATCGTCTCTGGACCCGGACGTGGCAAGTATCCTCAGTCCCAAGAAACTTTGCCTCTGGAAGGCCCTCCTCAAGGCTTCCGACTTCGATGATTGCGGGATCGTCGACTTGATGGCTAGAGGCATTCCTCTTGTTGGGACGCATGGGCCCGTCCCCAATCTAGAACCTGGAGGAGAACCTTCCTCGGACTCACCGGACAACCTTCTTGCGTCGGCTCCTCTCAGGCGTGAAGCCATGATTCAGTCTCGCAAGATCCCCAGTGACCAACATCAGAACGACCTTGTCTCGGCTTCCATGGAAGAGGTCAGCAGGGGCGATCTGAAAGGCCCCCTCACGGAGAGCGATGCCCACCAGCACTTCGGTTCCGAGCATTGGTTGCTTAACCCCAGGTTCCCGATTTACCAGGGAGTTAGTCTTAAGCTTAGGGTTATAGACGACGCCAAGGCATCGGGTTTAAACTCTGCCTTCTCCCCGTCGTACAAAGTCAAGCTGATGGACATTGACGTCTTGGCCTGCCTAGTAGCTCACGTGGCCTCGAGTCTGCACCTGGGGCACTGTGACGGAAACCCGGTACACCATCTCGTAGCCTCATCAGAATGGGAAGGAGGCACGCTTGACTTGGCCCGAGCATACAAGCAGGTACCGATTGACCCAGCCTCGAGGCCCTTCTGTGTCGTGGGCTTCCCGACCTCAGAAGGGTGGCAGTACTACAGGTCGGACGTGCTTCCATTCGGCTCCAACGCCTCGGTGTACGCATTCCTGAGGATCTCGCGTGCGTTGCACCATGTGTTGGTCAAGTTCCTCGCTGCACTTACCACGGTGTTCTACGACGACTTCCCCATCATAGAACCGGCCATGGGAGCTCCGGTCCTGAAATCTGCGGTATCGGCCGTCCTCGACTGCTTGGGATGGGCCCATTCCAAAGACGGCGACAAAGCCCTGCAATTTGCCGGCTCGTTCGTCGCCCTCGGGGTCTTGGTAGATCTGAGAGGAATTCGGTCCGCCAAATTCCGCCTGTCGAACAAGCCAGGCAGAATCGACAAGCTAGTCGAGATGATCCAGCAGTTCAGCGACGAGGGGCGCGTCGACTCTGGGCGGCTTTCGATTCTGCAAGGTCACTTGAACTTCGCCGCCGGGTTCTACATGGCCAAGGGACTACGCTTCTTATCCAAGGAATTTGCCAAGTTGCTGGATGGGCGTCGTTCCACATCCGAGATCAGAGCTTTGTGCAGGCTTGCCATAGCTCTTCTGCGGGGGACTCCCGAGCGCGAGTTTGACTTGGCCGTCACTGGGCAGCCTGTCATCATTTTCACTGACGGGTCCTGGGAAGGGGGCAGGGCAGGCGCCGGCGGAGTCGTTTTCGACCCAGCCACAGAAGCCACCCAAGTCTTCGAACTGGAAGTTCCGGGTGAGCTCCTTGCGGCATGGCAACAGCAGGTGGGCACTCAGCTCATCTGCCAGATCGAAGCTTATGCTGCAATATCTGCCAGATACCTCCTCCGACACGTCATCCGAGATCGCCTCGCGGTCATGTGGATCGACAACGAACCAGCGAGGGTGGCTCTCTCCAAGGGGACCGCGGACTCCGAGTCTCTGAGAGCCATGGCCAGGGTCATGCAGTCCATCGAGATCTCTCATCCTTCGGTGCTGTGGTACGAGAGAGTCTGCTCCTTCAGCAACCCCGCGGACATGCCTTCCAGGGGGGATGCAGAGGCTGCAGCCCGCCTCTTCGGCGGCAGAGTCGTCAACCTCGGCTCGGATGGACCCGTCAGGGATGCGATCCTCCTTGCTGTAAGAGATCCCTACGCCAACCTGGTGGTGTAGGGGTGAGGGCAGACGTGCTTCCAAACAGGGGACATCATCCGCACGTCGATCGCCCCAGCAGTCAAAACATCAGTCCGAGGGAAGTGTACGTGTGAGTGACTGTCCGTGTTGACCTCTTAACTTCGCAAACATATTTGATTGGAGAAACACATATCATCATTTATATTACATATTTGGATTCGGCCAAATACTCGGCCAAATACCTTTTGAGTGTGAGCCGACGGTTTTCGTCGCAAGCGACGTGTGCGTTCGCGCATGCGATGGCGTTGTCGTGTGCGGCGACAGCGAGCGGCCTGCGTTTTGGCGCGAGCGAAACTTTAGGCTCATACACTTTCTTCCTTTCAAATTTTATCATTTAATTTTCGGCACTTGTGCTCGTCTTGCTTTCAACGTGCCTTGTTCGTTGACATCCTCAGCATGACGAAGATTCGGGCCCAAGATCAGCCGAAAATTTTGTTCACCCACCCACCACGGCCCTCGGTCACTGTCGTCATAAACTGGCTATGACCCGTGCCCTGGTAGCACGAACCTGTTTTCACCTAGGCCAACTGGGTGCCTAGCCCATCCGTCGACATCATCCGCACGTCGATCGCCCCAGCAGTCAAAACATCAGTCCGAGGGAAGTGTACGTGTGAGTGACTGTCCGTGTTGACCTCTTAACTTCGCAAACATATTTGATTGGAGAAACACATATCATCATTTATATTACATATTTGGATTCGGCCAAATACTCGGCCAAATACCTTTTGAGTGTGAGCCGACGGTTTTCGTCGCAAGCGACAGAGCCGTAACATAAACCCTAAACCTGAAACACCCTAAACCCAAGGAAAAATTCAGATGCAGGGTGACTCCAGGTCGTAGCTGACTTCGCAGGGCCTCGACAGGAAGATCTGCTAAGCCAAACAGGAAGCACCCCCGGAAACACTCAACCCTATATAGAATCCAAAATATGAAAGCTATAAAATTTATCCTTAACCCCGGAAGCCCTCGGCCCCAGTACAAACCCTTGACCCGGCATGAAGAAATAAAGATAAGATAATATAGGACGCCCCATGGTTGAGTGCTTTAGGGTTTATTCTAAAGCTGAGTGCTCCTAAAACTCTCGCCCGGATCTGTCGAAGCCCAGTCTTAAGTCGTAGAGTGGCCAGACGGCGAAGCGGAGCACTGCGAGCTGGAACTCGGAGAAGAAAAGGGTGGAGCTGTTTTTCGACAGGGATTCTGTAACTATACATGTGCAAGCAGCTTGGTGTAGCCGTGATGTTTCAAGACAGTGCCCTCTAGAGTCCATTTTGGGAAGCAGCAGCAGACCTTGGGCCTCGGCATCGGCAAGGCCATATATATATATATATATATATATATATATATATATAGACACTATCTCTCTCTCTCTCTCTCTCTCTCTCTCTCTCTCTCTCTCTCTCTCTCTCTCTCTCTCTCTCTCTCTCTCTCTCTCTCTCTCTCTCTCTCTCTCTTCTCTCTCTCTCTCTCTCTCTCTCTCTCTCTCTCTCTCTCTCTCTCTCTCTCTCTCTCTCTCTCTCTGTCTCTCTCTGTCTCTCTCTGTCTCTCTCTCCTCTCTCTCTGTCTCTCTCTCTCTCTCTCTGTCTCTCTCTCCTCTCTCCTCTCTCTCTCTCTCTCTCTCTCTCTCTCTCTCTCTCTCTCTCTCTCTCTCTCTCTCTCTCTCTCTCTCTCTCTCTCTCTCTCTCTCTTCTCTCTCTCTATATATATATATACATATACATCGCGAAAGCAGCAGAATCCCCAACCGTGTGGCACAGGTTGGGCTCGGCAGAGATGGCGAAGCAATGGTTTTCTCGCGGTGAGCTTTGTGCACTGCAGCAGTCTCTGCTGCAGAGTTCGCTTCCCCCTCCTGTGGATTGGCTGGACTTTGAGGCGGAGGCGGTGCGAGAAGCACTCTACTGGGCGATGAAGAGTGCTGATGAGAATCGCGACAAGTCCGCTCGCGTCATAGCAGCACTGTGTCTCTTAAGATTCCAGTGGGAGGACCTTCTTAAGGAAACCGGAGCGGATCATGGCCAAATGTACAACGGATACAGCTATGTGCCGGCAGAGCCTGAGTATCCGCGGCTCACAGAGCAGGAGCGGGTCAGGGCGCTCACGGCAGAGTGGAGCCACAGCCGAGTCGACCGGCAGGTTCGCGAGTTGCGACATGCTCTGAGAATTATCCCCGCTTATTTCGGTTCCAACTTGAACCGAGAGTGGGAGAGCTACTTCAAAGCTGCTACGGAGCAGCTTCAGATCACGATGATGCTGCTGGAAATCGTGCACAACTTAGACTATAGACTGCTTGAAGGCCTCGAAATGGAGGAGAAGAGTTAGTGCTCCTGCTAGCTCTCCGGAGAGACTCCTTCTGCTGATCTTGGCCTTGCAAAACGTCCGGCCGGAGGCGTAGGTGATCGTAGGTGTTTGTAGGTGGTCACTCTGGGCCACCTGGCTAGGCAGGTGGCGTAGGTGGCGTAGGTGGTCTTATTTCCTTACCTTTCCATGGATCTGGAGGCGTAGGTGGTGTAGGTGGCCTGATTTTCCTTACTTCTCAGGTCGGGCCAGGCGTAGGTGGTGTAGGTGGCGACCCTGGCTTAGGCCTTCAACATGGGGGCCTGGCGTAGGTGATTGTAGGTGGTACTCTGCGGCTAAGCTGCTGGCAGGAGCTTTTCTGGAATCGCTGCTGTCTGTTTCTTTGTGGATTTAGGAAGCAGAAGTAGAGCTGCAGACTTGGGATTTCTTGGCCTCCGCAGCTACCTACTTTCAGCTTCTAGTTTGCCCCTCTCCTCCTAGCTTGGCCAGACCGCAGCCATGGTTGCCGCCTTCGAGGACGCTCAAGTCGAAAGCCAGACCCAGCCGTTGCAGGACACGGCAGCGGAGCCGCCAGCTTGTGTACTCTGCCAGAAGACCTTCGCGGCCCAGGACCTGACCGGGCGGTGGACAAGCAAGAAGTGCAAGACCTGTGCCGCTCTGGAGATGAAGTTGTGGCGGCAGCTGGGGTCCTTCGAGCCATGGAAGAATACCACCGCGGCAGAGAAGGCGGAGTTCTACAAGGGCTCAGGCGAGTACAAAGACTGGCCGACGCTCGAAGCTCGTCTCACGGACGTCCTCACGTCCCGCGCCGTTCGCTTCCAGAAGGAGTGTGAGAAAGGTGAGTACTTGCCGGCTACGGTGTACTTGGCGAAGGGCTTTACCCAAGAGCACATCGACAATTGCGATGATCGCCGCGAGCATCCCCACCTCGGCGAGACTATCTTGGAAGGATCAGAAAGGGGGGGGTTGGCTAGGGGGGGGTAGGGGCCTGGGGCCTGGGAGAACATGTGTGTGTCATGGTCGCGACAGATACAAATTGAAAGACGGTGAAGACGTGCATTCACTTCAACGATGACATTCTTTGCGGCTACAACTGGGTTGTGGCCATCCACATCACAAACATGCGCTAGCTCGCTAGTGAATGCTGCTAAGTGCCTCAAAGTTTGTTGCAAGCAGCACGTTGCTTTTTAGAAACCTATATGTTGCCAACGCAGTATTATTATCTTCTAGCTGTGTCAGATACTAACTGGCCCAAACGACAAACAATGATCAACCCTTACCAGAAACGAACTGCCACAAGATCTATCGAGATGTAGCGCTTACACTAGCTAGGAACAACTGCTACGGTACGGGGTCTTCGGACAATGGTTCAAAGGAATGGCCTAGCCTTGTTGTTGATGCCAGAATGCCCAATTGCTAAATCTATCTCGTGATCGCGCCTACAACTTCGTCCCCAAGCAAGACAACTCAAAAGGAGCAGATGATTTCGCCTTTACATTGACCCTCCTGCCTGGTATTTTTGGACGTGTTGACAGTTTCGGATAACAGCTTTAGCTCGCTGGTGTGCACGATGCTTCAATATAGATGTGCAGACCATATGCTCGCCCAAACCCCCCCTACCCAACCCCCCCCTTTAGGAGCTTTCCGACTATCAGAATCCCGATTCAGTCTCGCAGCACCGGCGAGATCAGGGAGTCGATTCAGGAGGAGATCAACAAGAGGGTGAAGGACGTTCGCAAGAAGAAGGGGGACCCGACCACTAAAGACTGGGACCTACCGTCGCACACCTCGAAGGAGAGTCAGACAGCAAAAGCGGAGACAGCCGCCAAGAAAGCGGCGGTGAAGGCGAAGAAGCAAGCTGTGGCCGTGGCACAGTCTTCGTTGGCCTCGGTAACGTCGCTGTGGTGCTCCGTCAGCACCTGGGAAGGGAAGGAGACCGACCCGGCGCTGCTCGCCAAGCTGAAGGACCTGAAGTGCAAGCTGGGCCAGTGGAAGCTTTCGGCCGAGCAGGTCCTCGCGAAGAAGGACACCGAGGAGGTCGTCCCCCTTGCCTTTTCCAAGAGCGACCTGAAGACCTTGAGCAAGGAAGTACAGGACGTGCTGGGGGATTGCAAGCAGGCCCAGAAGGAGAAGAACAGGTTGAAAAAGGCCGCGAAGGAAGCGAAGCCGGCAGCGACGGAGGCAGAGAACCCGCCTACCCTAAAGAGACGCAGGGTCAACAAGGGCAGCTGAGCCGTCGCCGAAGTAGGAGGTTTCACGTGATCCTCCGCCCAGGTAGCATGAATCATCGCATGCAGGCATGCATCTTGCAAGGCCATAGTTTTTTAGCAGCAGGTAGTTTTTTCTTGTAGCTTTCTATAATTCGATGCAATCTAATTCAAGACAACGAGAACCGATGCAGACCGCTGAGGACGAAACAAGCAAGGAGTTGCGAAGACCATGGTCAGAAGCGTCGTTGTGCACAGCTTCACTCTTTCTGCAGCCAGTTCTGCTCCAGACCCTGTGTAGCCTCGCCCCTGCAGTGCCTTGTACAGTATGCGGCAGCGTCAGGCTTGTCTGTACAACGCATAATATAATATCTGTCCAGAATATATTCTTGTTCGAACTGGCAGGCGAGCCCCGACACCGCGAGGCGTTCGTTGAGAGAACGTTCGCGGTCCCCCAGGGCGACGTTCGAATGGCGCTGGTGTTGGAAGAAAAGCATCGGCCTGGGCGGTGCCGTCGTGTGGTGGTGGAAGTGGTTCAAGTATCCATTGGCCCGGGACCACACTTCGGCAGAAGCCGGCGAGCCGGCCGCGGCATCGTCGCGGGGCACGAAGCGGAGGTGCGAGAGGTCTGAGTCGGAGGACTCCGAGCAGTAGCTGCCAGTTTTTGCAATTGCTGTACATTCGCGGCATGTCGCATGTCACAGCAGATGCACTGTATAGAGAGTCTGCTCAAATCGAATTTGCTTTCGCCACTGCCGTGGGACAGCATGCCCGTGAAAAGCGTGAGCCCTTCACAGCTGGAAGTAGTGCAAGCTTCGGCCTTCTTCTAATAAGCAGCCCGATACAGATCCCCGTCAGGGCTATATGCGGCCGTATTAGTTGGAAGCTGTGAGCTGGAGGGCAGTAGTGCTTGCCCTGTGTCTGTACGGCATCATGTCTATACTTTTTTGACATGGAACCTATATATGTGGCTGCGTTGGTTCAAATACATGCAGGGGAATCCTTTAGGGCAGACCGCATCCCTCCCCGTACTGTCCGCGGCTGAAGGCCATGTCGAAGCAAGCTCGTGCGGTGCTCCAGGACGAAGGTCGTGCGGTGGACCTCTACTTCGGGAAAAACAAGGTAGGGTTCCATGGAGATTTCTATCTACACCCGAAACCCTACTAGACCCTATAAGCCCTAAACTTGCTGCATGAATATAAGATCTCCAGGCCCAGATGAGAATGATGACACTGAAGCATGCTTTCGCTTTGTCTGCGAATGCAACAGTCTGCGAGCACGTCGCCCTGCACGGTTGGGTTCACAAGGGCCTAGAGCCTGACGGACGTTTCCTGGACGCTGAAGCCCTGGTCCAAGGCAGAGTCGTGCAGTTGAGGAACTGCAAGCGAAGCCGCCACTGCAGCCCCAAGTCGCGGAAGACTCGCAGGCTCGGTGACAGCAGCTCCCCTGCAGACTCCAAGCAGCCCTCGGACACACCAGGGAAACTTTTGCGGAAGGAAGAGATGGCCATGCTAACACAGCGAAGTGTCAGCGACCAGCTCAACTGAGTTAGTACTTGTGTACAGAGCAAACGTGGTTTGACCCACGATCGATCGCAATAGCAGAGGAAAAAAAAGCTTTGCTGCTCTTTGCAAGCGTTCCACATCACGATGTAACGATGTATATAATAATAATAATAATAATAATAATAATAATAATAATAATAATAATAATAATAATAATAACTTGACAGCGTCTGAATGCTGCATACCTGCCTCCGGAGAACCAACTCAGCTCAAGAGGATGTAGCGTCCTGTTGCCTGCCGCCCATGGAAACCTCGAGGAAACGGAAGCGAGACGAGCTGCTTTGTCTTCCGAGCAGGTCTGAGTTCATTGAGCGGCTGCAGAGTATACGTGGGCTTACCGATGCCCACATCGAGAAAATTACAACTGGCCTGGGCATGCCTGCAATCAAGCACGACACCGGCCTGAAGTATGAGAGAGAAAAACGATGCCTTCGGGACCTTCTGCTACCAGCAGCGAAGGGAGACCCGATAAGGATCCCTGTCATGAGCCTAGCTGCGTCATTGACTCAGAAGTGCCAGGCGAACAAAGCATTCGCAGACATTTTGTCTGCGGCTGTAAAAACGGCACCTGACGGCACCCTGGATGCCCTGGTGTATGTCAACGAAGCCGTCCCAGGCAACATTGTCCAACCAGACAACCGCAGAAAAGCGTACCTCATGTACATTAGCTTCCTGCAGTTGGCCACGACGTTGCAGGCAGAGTACTCATGGACGACGGTGGGGTGCGTCAGGCATTCTCTAGTAAATGCAGCAGCTGGAGGCTTGGCCGGCGTCATGTGCGAATTCGTTGGCCGCCTGCAGGAGGAGCTCCAGGGTTTCGCAATCCAGGACAGCACGGGCTCGCCCGTTTTGGTGCGAGCCCAGAAGTAGAAGTTTTGGCTGCTCGCAGATGAAGCTGCTTTGAGAGGGACCATGGCGGCTAAAGGTTCTTCCGGGGTGCGGCCCTGCATAAAGTGCAGGAATGCTTGCAACGTCGGCTACAGCATGGACTCCTTGCATCCGATAACAGAGCCAGATTTTGGGGTATTTCGCCGCTTGCATGTCGAAAAATTAAAGGAATACCTGCAACACCTGAGGCACCCAAACCCTGCTTGGCTGGCGATACGTGCCGCAGAGTCTCCCCTGCCGGCAACCCGACTTGATCCCTCCGCAGCGGGTTCTCTACGACGGGCAACATTGCTTCTATGTGAACGGTATAGTGAACGTGGAGCTGGGACTCTTCCTGGATGCAGCGCTCGAAGCGGGTGCTCTTGAGAAAACAGCAGAGCTGGCGGATGCCTTGGCAAAACATGCTTGGCAGGGTCCAGATATGAGGGTGGCGCGACTGCTCGGTTCCAAACTCTTGCAATCCGGTGGGGAATATCGCGGCAAGGCCTCCGAAACAATGTCGGTCTTGCCTTTGGTCATTTTCTTTGCCGAGAGAGTGCTGGCTCCTTGCGAGTTGCTGAGGGACAACGTTCGATCACTGCAGCTACTCTGCCGAATTTGTAATTATGTGCGTTTCCTGAAGCAGTCCCGGGACAAAGCGGCGGCCCGGGACATGCTCCAGCTGCAAAAGAAGCACCTTGAACTTTACGAGAAGTGCTACGGGACGGACAAAGTGAAACTGAAGCACCACTATGCGATGCACATACCTTCCCAACTTGAGGAAAGCCATGTTCTGGCTGATTGCTTCCCCACTGAGAGGCGAAACAATCTCTTCAAGCAGGATGTGGCACCCAGAATGAAGAAACTAACAGGTTTCGAACAAGCTGCCTTGCTGCGACTTGCAAGGACGGATGCCCAAATGCAAACGTCCTTCAGTTTGCAGCCAGCCTTGGAGAACCCAAGACCTGATGCAGCTCTGGCACTGTAGATTGGCGTGGCCAAGGCCCTCTGCTCCAGGCGCCTGTTGTGCAGCAGCGGTGCTATTGAAGCAAAAAAGATCGTGTACATCTTGGCTCCCACCCTGGCGGTCAATGTGAGATGCTGGGTCCAGCTCAAAAATGACTGTTTCGGGCTTTGCCATAAGATGCACACGGTAAATGATTCCATTTCGTGGCTTTCTCAATGCAACAGTGTGTGGACAACGACGGAAGAGAACGTGTTAGTACCCTGCAAGTTCATCTTGCATACCTGTCGCGTGTCTTGGTCCCTTCAAGAAGGGACCAAATTCACTTTGTTGCATTAATTATACAGACATTATACTCGCAAAATCTGGCAAATGCCGAAAAAAGGTGCGATTCAGCAAAAGTATGGTTTTTGAGACTGCAAAAAGTTATTACGACTTATTCGGACTTGCAAGATAACTCAACATAACTCAACACAACTCAACATAACTTCGGGGCTACCTAGGTAGGGTTTCAGGTGTTCGATCTATTTATGCACGTACGTATCTAGGCTATCTACATATACTATGCCTATATGTGTGTGTATTCCATATATAGTGCAAGTGCCCACTACCCCTTTCCAGCAGTACTTGCCTCAAGGCGGAAGCAAGCGAACATGCTCAAGCTTCCATGTTGCTATAAGCAATGCATACAACACGCGCGAGCCCACTCGTTTTTTTCTGATGGCTCGAGGCTTCTGTCTAGTGGCCAGATCGTTTAATGATCTGGCGTAGTGAATCGCGATCAAAAATGGCACCAAAGTCCGTCACGTAGACATCTATACCCATCATGTCCATATGCTTGAGCTGCCGCTTGAAGTGTTCGACCTGCTCCTGGCTGTAGGCGCCTTGCCCATGTGCACCGCTGCTGCTGCTCGCAGCGTCGACACCCGAAATGTGGCCGGGCCCGCTGCTGTCACTCGATCCTGCGGCACCCGAAACGGGGCCGGTGGAACTGCTGCCAGTCGAAGCAGCTGGCGACTTACGCTTACGCCCGGCAGTACCAAAGATGCCATCGCTTTGATTGTTGAGGAAACCTCTCTGCATGATCGAGCGCAGCTAAATGCAGGATTGCTTGGGCCGCGCACCAAAAACTGCAGAAAGCACTGGCTCTCACCCTGCCCTGCGAGGTTGCACAGGTAAGTCTTCTGAGCCTGCAGCGCTTGACTGGTTTGAGTGCACAGGTGAGCTTGCGAGGATGTGCCAGCGCAAGTCGGCACTGATCCACCAGTGCACACTTTCCAGCGTGTGAATCTCCGAGGGTGTCAGGTATTGGCCCAGAAATTCACAGACGAAGGGCAAAGCGCAAGCCACAATCAACGGAGGATCACGATCAATGGACACTGAGCGGGCGGCCCCCTCTAGCGTGTGAATCTCCGAGGGTGTAAGGTGTTGGCCCAGACAATTGCAGACCAGGTGTAAACGACACACACAACAATCAACCCAGGCTCACGATCGACTGCAACGGACACGGAGCGGGTGGCCATGCATAAACAAAGCTGTGTGCTTTGTTTATTATAGATCGAACTATGGCGATGTCAAAGTATTCTGTTTGCACAGCTGTTTCTCGGTGTGGTAATTGCCAACGACCGATTCTGCAGCCATATAAGATGTGTGATTTTGGTATAGTCATGTATACTTTGAAAGTCATATAGGTCCAAAACATCATGATGAGCCTCTGACTGCGGACAATCGACCAGTCTTCCCAATCAACCCCCGCTCACGATCGACTGCAACGGACACGGACAGAGTGGCCATGCATGAACGAAGCTGTGTGCTTTGTTTATAATAGCACTATGGCGATGTGAAAGTATTTTGTTTGCACAGCTGTTTCTCGGTGTGGCAATTGCCAACGCCCGATTCTGCAGCCATATATATATATATATATATATATATATATATATAAGATGTGTGATTTTGCGGTTCGGGGGCCGAACTCGACCCCTGCGTTTTGCGCAGTTCAGGTCCGCCGCCTCCACGACATCACGATGAAATCTGGCGCTTAGGGGCGTTGTCGTAATTCGAACCCTGAGAAACACCAGCCCCTTTCCTTTAACAAATCTATAAAATCCAATCCAAAAAAAACAAACCAAACAAAAAAAACATTATTTCAGCGCTCTTCCAGAATAACATTAGAAATATACACGAATGGGAGAGTTCTGAAATAATGTTTTTTTTGTTTTTTTTGGTTTTTGTTTTTTTTGGTTTTTTTGTTTTGGTTATTTTTGGTTTCGACGCTTTGAGACACATTGGCTACATGATGACAGACAGTTCAATGAATCGCTGCGCGTTCCAAAAGAAGCCGATGCGTGTCGGCCGTGTGCTGCATCACATATATCGCTCATGCATCACTGGTCTCACTCATGCCGTATACAGTTTGTGATTCGCGGTGTTCCGTACTCAAGCCTAGTATAACCTAGTTCTATTTTCCGGTGACTCATATCTGCACAGCAGTCGCGATTCATGACAAGCTTCCGGTGGCCTCCTCAATACTTATTAAACTATCTTGGTTGGAAAGGACTGTAGTGATACAAAATGAAACTAACGTGCAACCTCTCACCAACTGAACTAGTATCATTCCAACCACTATATTAAGTAATCTCTTTAGTCTTGTACTCTACTAGGCTTAAACATTAGAACCACTGAGATGTAATGATGTAAGCCTTCACATAACATCACTAGAACACACATGAAAAACTTAGACAACTTGATTTGTATTAACCTCTACGCATAGCTAACCTAGACCATTCATGTCAATGCCACTACCTATAGCTGTTCATCTAGTGTTAGTAAGTCATTTTAATACAGCACACGACAATACATATAATAGTCCTAATGGGGTAGCATTGATTGTACTTAATGGAAAGACATAATGAAAAGTGCAACAACATATATCAATAGCAGCACTAATTACCAAGTATAATACCGGTTGAACCACCTATTGTAAACAGACTATATGAAAGATATACTGTACTATAACAGTTAACATTAGTTGTGAAATAGTATCAGTAGACATGCATTACTTGTCCAGGGATGTAGAATACCAACTACATGATCGTAACGAACAAGTTGGTAATGATCATATAACCAATGTATTAACCTGTAAAGTTAGCTCTTGTATCACTGTTGCATACTAGTTGTAAACATATGATGTGTCCAAACTAATTTATCCTAATAGACAAAGACAACTCATAGCCTCATAGCTCAGGTTATCCGATTATAGGCAAGTTAACCAAAGACACTAAACATGCAATAAGCCAGCTATTGTTAAACTATTGATTATCGAATGCTGGAAGGGTAGACTTCTGGATTCCCAAAGAACTAAACCAAACATTGATAGAACATAGCATCACCTCCAAATATGAACCAAATGCTATTGTATTAAGTGCATATCTGTTAATAACCTTAATTAGTGAAGCATCGCACCTGTTAAGATTGGTAGAACTATTAATAAGATAGATGATGTAGTCCTAACTGATCTAGTTATATGTTGGTTGTGTAGCTTAACATCAACCTAATGATTGCACAATGTGACAAGTATTACAGAAATTGTATAGATGTTAATGCTGATGACAGAGCTGATATAGTTAAACTATAGATAATAAGATTGGTACCGCGCACATACACACACACACACACACAATTTTCAGCATATTCCTAAAATATGCAAAACGCAGGGGTCGACTTCGACCCCGTAACCGATTTTGCTATAGTCATGTATATACTTTGAAAGTCATATAGGTCCAAAACATCATGATGAGCCTTTGACTGCGGACAAAACCGACCAGTTTTCCCAATCAACCCAGGCTCACAATCGACTGCAACGGACACGGACCGGGTGGCCATGCATAAACGAAGCTGTGTGCTTTGTTTATAATAGAAATATATGGCGATGTCAAAGTATTCTGTTTGCACAGCCGTTTCTCGGTGTGGTAATTGCCAACGCCCGATTCTGCAGCCATATAAGATGTGTGATTTTGGTATAGTCATGTATACTCTGAAAGTCATATAGGTCCAAAACATCATGATGAGCCTCTGACTGCGGACAATCGATCAGTTTTCCCAATCAACCCATGCTCACGATCGACTGCAACGGACACGGACAGAGTGGCCATGCATAAACGAAGCTGTGTGCTTTGTTTATAATAGCACTATGGCGATGTGAAAGTATTTTGTTTGCACAGCTGTTTCTCGGTGTGGCAATTGCCAACGCCCGATTCTGCAGCCATATATATAAGATGTGTGATTTTGCTATAGTCATGTGTATACTTTGAAAGTCATATAGGTCCAAAACATCATGATGAGCCTTTGACTGCGGACAAAACCGACCAGTTTTCCCAATCAACCCAGGCTCACAATCGACTGCAACGGACACGGACCGGGTGGCCATGCATAAACGAAGCTGTGTGCTTTGTTTATAATAGAAATATATGGCGATGTCAAAGTATTTTGTTTGCACAGCTGTTTCTCGGTGTGGCAATTGCCAACGCCCGATTCTGCAGCCATATAAGATGTGTAATTTTGCTATAGTCATGTATACTCTGAAAGCCATATAGGTCCAAAACATCATGATGAGCCTCTGACTGCGGACAATCGACAAGTTTTCCCAATCAACCCAGGCTCACGATCGACTGCAACGGACACGGACAGAGTGGCCATGCATAAACGAAGCTGTGTGCTTTGTTTATAATAGCACTATGGCGATGTGAAAGTATTTTGTTTGCACAGCTGTTTCTCGGTGTGGCAATTGCCAACGCCCGATTCTGCAGCCATATATATAAGATGTGTTTTTGCTGTATTCATGTATATACTTTGAAAGTCATATAGGGCCAAAACATCATGATGAGCCTTTGACTGCGGACAAAACCGACCAGTTTTCCCAATCAACCCAGGCTCACAATCGACTGCAACGGACACGGACCGGGTGGCCATGCATAAACGAAGCTGCGTGCTTTGTTTATAATAGAAATATATGGCGATGTCAAAGT